AGGGTAGAAAGATTGAGAAAGACAGCACAGTTGCAATTACTGTTTATGGATCACAAGTACTATGGAGGGAAGAGGGAGGTGAATGGAAAGAGACAGAAAAAAAAGAGTTTTTTGAACAATTGGATATATGATGGTGTGAGAGATAGAGAGATTATATATATAATTGTAAAGAGAAAGACAGGAGGGAGGGAGAGGGAGGATTCATTTATTGTGTAAATGGACAAGGATCCATCTTTTTCTTTTGAGAAAAAAGTTGGATCTTTTTAGAGCGATATTATGGGAAGTTAGTGGGGGTTGAAACTGGTTTTGTGTGTTCCACTTCACGTGGTTTGCAGAAAAGGGGAGAGTTTGACAAAGGGGATAAGCCAAGGGGTGTGTTGTTTGAAGCCCCACAGCCCACCAAATTCAATTTAATGACTTTCTATGAACCCTATATATCCCCAACATTAAATATTCTAAACTCTGCATGGGATTCTAGGGCTAATTAGGGTTAGGTTTTAGTAATTATGCGATGATCAGCCTAGTTTAATTGTTTTGTAATAGCGTTGTATAGTTGGAGCCACAGTCATTTTCATCCATATTTAATACAGCTTGGTTTTTACATCAATAAATATGGAAAGTCAACCAAAAGATCTAGAGTAGGATCCCATTTGTTTTCAATCAACTTTTTATGATTCGATATCTTTCCATTAATAGTAGAGATAGATGAATGAACTGACACCATGTCTAAATTATATTAGAGAGATTAATTTGAAGGTAGGTAAACACGGTTAAGAAATTCTTAAAAAAAGTGTTACTACATATATCAATAATGTGCACTTTCCCTTTTAGTGATACGATCAAAAAACTTCAAATCAATGTCTTGTGGTTTACACTAGTGGATATCTAGGATTGTGGTTCGTTGTCTGGACGACCAAGCAGTACTATGACCAACACAGGATTCAAACACAAGACCTCATGTATAGGTGATACCAAAAGCAACATGTCCTTATCACTGCGTGATTTACCAGCTGACTTGAAAAAAGCAAGTTGTTGAGAGAATCCATACAATCCTCCAACAGACAAAAACAAACATATGTTTTCATTCATTCGTTCTCACAATTATATACAAATCACCCAAGTGAACCCAACAAAAATATTACTGAAATGATCTCATTTTTCCTTATGAATCACTTTTAATCATGTAGTTACACATATGATGGGGGTGACAAATGTGCCTTTGAGAACTAGGTCCACGTGGGCATGTCTAAGATTAAGGGAAGAAAGGACAATTATTTCACCCAAAATGGGCACGCTGGTGCCATAGAGAGATCAGAGAGAGAGAGAGATGAAATGGGAGAATACAGAAGAATTAATACAGATTTTGACTGGTTTTGTGTAATGTGTTGTGTTGAATTGAAGGTCACTTTCTACAAAAAGTAGAAACATTTTGGTGTGTGTCTCTCTCTTCTTTCACCCATCAATCAAACTCTGTGCGCAGTGAGCACAGCCACAGAAGAGAATGTTGTTGTTGCCTTTCCTCCATGCGTGCTTGCTTATCTCTCTCACTCTCTCTATTTCTTTGACAAGAAAGAGAGAAGAACCAAAAATTAAAGAAAAAATAAAAAAACAAAAACTGTGTACTTTGCGGCACTGTAGATACAAAGACCTTCTGAAACCCTAGCCAATCACCAACTACCATAACCACACAAAACCATCTCATCTTTCTTCCAAAAAATGCCATTATTCCCACTTCCAATCAAACCCCATCTTCCCATCTAACTTTTTTTTTTCTTTTTTTTTTTCCATTTTTACATGCCGTCCTCCTCTCCCCACCCACTTATCCCAAAACCCACCAAAAAAAAACCCCTTTTTTTTTCTTTTTTATCTAGCTAGGGCTGAAAACTGGCTACTTTAAGCTGACATAATGGCAAAGGACCACACAAAGATAATGCAGATCTAGCTGTGTTCTTGTGTGTGTTTTGAGGGTTACTTTCAAAAAAACAATATAACTACAAAAGATGGGGAAGATGAATAATAATATAGTACAAATTTGGGGTAGTGGTTCATTATTATGTATCAAACTAGATCAATTCATGGTTTTCCCTTTCTGTGTGATATGAGCAACCATTTTTATTCCAACCCATGATGGCTTTTTTACCTAGATAAGAAGGGTAAGTTATTTGAGATTGAAATAATGTGGCTGATAATTCTACACATTTTAATTTGAATTTGTATTTAAAGGAAGAGACATGTTGTGATGATTTCATCTAATAATTTTTTCGGTGTGAGTTTCACATATGTAATTATAGTGGGCTCTTATTTATTTATTTATTTATTTTTAAGAATATTATATATATGTTTGAGCACCTTATATATTATATAGTCTTGCAGATCATGTGAAAGTACCATGTTGGTCAAATCATTTTTACTTTCTATGTGTATTGTGTGAAGTTTAAAAGGAAAATGAAAACAGAATTTATTTTTCGTGAAAAGCATGCATTAAAAAGATGAGGTTCATATAAAAGCACTCCAATTTATTATTTAGAGAAATAGAAGCTAACGTTATAATTACAAAAATGAGATGACTTTGAAGACCAAAGAGAGGCAAGAGTCAATATGTCATCCTAGAGATTAGGGCAAAGCTCTTGAAGAATCCATAAAGGTCAGGTTGTTTCGCTCCATCCAAATATTTTACAAAATGGAAACAAAAGCATTGCACCGTAAAATGTTCCTCTGGTTTTCGAGAAAGGAGACTTTTGAATGAACAAATCAATTTGAGCCAGCAACGCCATAGAGGTATGGAAGGTCTTAAAGAGGCGGGACCAAAGATCAGCTATGAAGAGTGAAGAAATAAGAGGTCCAAACTCTTCTCCAAAGTTTTGAAATTGAAGAAACTTTTGTCCTCTGAGATGACACAATGGCAACTATTCGGAGCATTGGCACACATTGGTTATAGTGTTGCTCAGCTCAAGTAATTGAGCTTCGATTATTATAGGGGTCTACTAACGTAAGTCACACGACATTAATTTCTACCGACCCTACGAAACATCAAACCTCGTTCTCAAATCTTTAAAGTTCTAGTTTCCATTTCTAAGAATATTGAAGTATGTATGCAGAATTTTTTATTTGGCTAAGAAAATGAAAAGTTGCAGATAAAATCCAAGATAGGTTTCACTCAGTGGTGGCCAACAATGAGAATGAGAACTGGACCACATGAAATTTCTCAGATGTTGATTTGGCAAAGAATGATGAACTATATATCTACAGTTATATGTATATGAATCTACTGCCACCAACTTCTGGCTCGACTCTCGACTGTAATATGAAAATTTCCTGCGTCTCTCTCCATTTCAGCGTCCACACTGGTACTTTTTTAAGAGTGTGGTCTCTAATTCAGAACCTGTATCTTCAATTACTTTTGGCAAATTTATATAACAAAAATGTTTTCTACTTAAAAGAACAAGAAAATAAAATCACGAGGACAACTAAAAGGAGAAAAAAAGAAACTTTCTAACAAAACACTTATATCCAAACCCATTTATCCATAGTGTGTTTTTTTTTTCTTTTATTGGAAAAACTAGAAAACTATTTTCTAAAAAATTGTTTCCCAAGTATTAATTTCCGTGTATACTATGTGGATCCTTAACACGACTTTAAGATGATAGCTCTTTTGAACTCACCAATCTTGGTTGGATTCGTTGGAGGTTGTTAGGCTTTAATACTATATTAATATTCATGAGTTCTATCTCAAAACAAATCGACAGTTCAGGTATATTATAAATTTTTGTAGGTCCCTTATTTTTTTCGATATGAGATTCGATACTTAACTTACCGTTTTAATAAATAAAGAGTTAATAAAATTGAAGGTTGGAGATCTATGTTTTGTTCATGCAAAAGTTATGAATTTAAAAGACGTGGATATAAGTGTAAATTTAGGTGTAGTTTATAAATCTATGATGTATGAAAGTCTATAAGATAAACCCAATTTGAATATAGTTCTAACTAGTTAAGATATATGAAAGTCTATAAGATAAACCCAATTTGAATATAGTTCAACTAGTTAAGATATATGATTTTATCATCGACTAAAAGATTAGAGATTCGAATAATCATACTTCCAAGTCTGCTTTAAAAAAAATGGGTTTAAACTCAATTTTGAAATAACCCTATAGATTCCACCACCCATGATATATATTTTTTACCCTAAAACTTTTCAATTTTGCTTCTCATGCGATCACATGTCCTACTTTTATAAGTCTCAATTGGCCTTTCTTTTTTTCTTTTTTTTCCTTTTTCCTTTTTTATCTATTGTTCTCCCTTCTGTTTCCCAATCTTGCTCTTGGTCAGTGCTTTAGGTTATTGCCATTTCTCATTGGCTTTGAACTTTCTTTACCTTTTAAGAGCCCCATTAATTATTTTGGCTTACTACTGTATTTTTGGCTTGGATGATATGTCAATGTCAACTATGTTTAGGGGACAGTTTTTCAATTGTTTATATCTG